CAGTGGTTTGTAATACGGCATTTTGTCCTCAGCAATACTTCCTGTAGAATACAGTTTGGGCTGATATATACGGTTTATCCCCTATATGTATTTTCCAACTCTCACTTTGTAAACCGCCTCCGTGGTGTAGTGGTTAGAGCGTCAGCCCGGAGAGCGGAAGGTCGCGGGTTCGATCCCCGACCGCGTCATACCAAAAGATGTTAAAATATGGTACTTGTTGGTTCCTGCCTGGCACTCGGCATTAATGGGTACAAGGACTGGTCGGCTCGGAGTCAGTATAATGTGTCTGAGTGGGGTATTCATGCTTCACTGCGGCATGGTATCTCAGTGAGCTAGCACTATAAAACCAGCTTCAGCCTGGGCTAGTACAAGCAGCCGCACATACACACGCATGCACGTCGTCCTATGAGCGAAATATTCTCAAGCACGACGTTAAACCCAATTTCACCTCACCTCACCTCACCTCAGTTCGTAAACTCAAAATACACCAAGCCCATTCATCATCCACAGTACCCGACATCATCCACAGTAATTTTAGGCAAAGCAAAACTAGGTTCATCGTAAATATGGCTACTTTTGACAGTTTTACATGTGTTTTGAAATCTTAATATTGAATGTATTTAGTTATCACAACCAAATTTGATTTAATGAAATTAAGCACATACGCAAATAACGAACGTTTCCGACACATTTGGTAGAGTTTACAAACGTACGTTTGCTGAATGCCTGTTTTGATATACCTACTAAATCACACGTGTTTCACTCTCAGTCGAGATTTTTGCTTGATTTCCGCATACAGTTGGGATGAAGTGACACGTTGTCTTTGACACCAATACAAATGGCCTGAAATCAGGTGACGCAAAATATTGGCGTACACAGTTGTATATAACAACTCGGTGTGTATGACAGTTAACAGGTGATATATTGACCAGTGCTGTCGTATACATCACAGACATGAGGTGTTATACAGGCGTGTATCTCGTATGGGAACACGTCATAACTGCCCAAGGTCTCTGTAACAGACCATCATTACATAACTGTATACAACAGGTTCATAATGTGACACATTGTAGACAAACAAGGTTTTATGCACACCAATATTAAAACTTTATAACTTCAATTTTAAATTATAATGAAACAATTTGATCAAGTTTGGATACTTGATACCCGTGTGTGTCACCTGATGGTGATGCTTGGTACCCGTGTGTGTCACCTGATGGTGATGCTTGGTACCCGTGTGTGTCACCTGATGGTGATGCTTGATACCCGTGTGTGTCACCTGATGGTGATGCTTGGTACCCGTGTGTGTCACCTGATGGTGATGCTTGATACCCGTGTGTGTCACCTGATGGTGATGCTTGATACCCGTGTGTGTCACCTGATGGTGATGCTAGATACCCGTGTGTGTCACCTGATGGTGATGTTTGATGTATGTACCTGATGGTGATGCTTGATACCCGTGTGTGTCACCTGATGGTGATGCTAGATACCCGTGTGTGTCATCTGATGGTGATGCTTGATACCCGTGTGTGTCACCTGATGGTGATGCTTGATACCCGTGTGTGTCACCTGATGGTGATGCTTGATACCCGTGTGTGTCACCTGATGGTGATGCTAGATACCCGTGGTGTGTGTCACCTGATGGTAATGCTTTGATATGCTTGGTACCCGTGTGTCACCTGATGGTGATGCTTGATACCCGTGTGTGTCACCTGATGGTGATGCTTGATACCCGTGTGTGTCACCTGATGGTGATGCTTGATACCCGTGTGTGTCACCTGATGGTGATGCTGATTTGATAACCGTGAGTGTCACCTGATGGTGATGCTTGATGATGGTGTGCTTGATATCCGTGTGTGTCACCTGATGGTGATGCTTGATACCCGTGTGTGTCACCTGATGGTGATGCTTGATATCCGTGTGTGTCATCTGATGGTGATGCTTGAATTGATACCCTGTGTGTGTCACCTGATGGTGATGCCTGATACCCGTGTGTGTCACCTGATGGTGATGCTTGATACCCGTGTGTGTCACCTGATGGTGATGCCTGATACCCGTGTGTGTCACCTGATGGTGATGCTTTGATATACCCGTGTGTGTCACCTGATGGTGATGCTTGATACCGTGTGTGTCACCTGATGGTGATGCTTGATACCCGTGTGTGTCACCTGATGGTGATGCTTGATACCCGTGTGTGTCACCTGATGGTCATGCTTGATACCCGTGTGTGTCGTCTGATGGTGATGCTAGATACCCGTGTGTGTCACCTGATGGTCATGCTTGATACCCGTGTGTGTCACCTGATGGTGATGCTAGATACCCGTGTGTGTCACCTGGTGGTGATGCTTGATACCCGTGTGTTTTCCCTGTTTGTGGCGCATGGTACAAACAGGCATGAACCAGTTTAAACTGTTCTCGTATTTTAGTGGATGCCGGTTGTCACGGACTTCATGGATACTGTCAAAATCTAATTCATAGAGGATATTATAAGAGGTGAGGTGAAATTGGGTTTTACGTCGTGCTTGGGAATATTTCGTTCATAAGACGACGTGCATGCCTGTGTATGTGTATGCGCGGCTGCTTGTGCTGGCCCAGACTGAAGCTGGTTAATAGTGCTAGCCCACTGAGATACCATGCCGCAGTGAAGCATGAATACACCACTCAGACACATTATACTGACTCCGAGCCGACCAGTCCTTGATGTACGCATTAATGCCGAGTGCCAGGCAGGGACCAACAAGTAACATATTTTAACGTCTTTGGTATGACGGGGTTGGGGGTCGAACCCGCGAACTTCCGCTCTCGGGGTTGGCGCTCTAACCGCTACACTACGGAGGCGGTGGATATTATAGGAGTGACCACGTCATTCTAGGTTGTTATTTCCCGATCGAGAGCGAGGGATATACCGAGTGTCGTAAACATAGTATGATATGGGCACGGATATAATACATGCTTTCTGTTTATATTGCCGAAGTCGTCACATTGAGGTTAATAAACCCAAATCAACTTTCAAGCATAAGCAAGCTACCCACTTTCGCCGCATGTAGAACGCAACATCACAGATAAAACGTGACGTCATAGCATTGTTCATGACGTCGCGTCACCATGACAAAGTGAAATTTTGCCCTGTGGCATCGCATGAAAAATATGAACCCCGATATGTTCGCCCTCGTAGGTAATAAATGTAAATATTCAGTAACTTATCATGTGTTGCTTTGGGTGAGGGTCGGTGGGGTAGCCTTGTAGTCAAAGCGTTCGCTCATATTTGCTGATGTCCTAGGTTCACTTCCCCACGTGGGTACAATGTGTGAAGCCCATTTCACCTTTACCGCGCCCTTTGTTGGGATATTTCGAAAACGGGAAAAAAACAACAAATCACTCACTCACTCGCTGAAAGGTCGTGAAGTTATCATGCAATGCTTTCTAAGAGCTACCGTCCACTCAATCACTGACTGATAATAGACACTTCAATTTTTGACAATCGGGAAATGGTTACAACTGCATCATTTTGAGAAAAACAGCCGCGAACCTTTTTTTCACCAAAAACTTGCTATAAATGGTTTTCATGTAAATTAATAAGCATATTCAAAGGTTATCAATTATTAAAACTGTAATACCTTATGGAAACCGCTCACGAAATGCAAAAATATTTCTTAAATAGCATTTGTAAATATTTGAAAATACAATTAAAATTTAAAATAATCAATATGGAAAAACCGCAGAAAACCTAAAGTTTTCTGAGGTTTTAAGATTGCAAATTTTCAATATGGTCATTAAATTTATAAATATATAATCTTTACAAAGTCTCTCAAAGACAACAGTCTTAAAAGGGTCGTTATTTGCAAATAGATCATAAGCATAATAAATGTGGCTATCGGACTTTTAAAAATAAAAGATGCACAGACAAAAAGTCACCGATGGAACGCTTCTTCTGTTAAAAGTTAGATATAGTCATTACATATTTACAACCAACACACTTGACAGAAAGAGCACAACGAATAAAATAGATTTATATTCGCAAATATTTCATCAGAATAATAAACAGAGTCATATTGATCAACACAAACCATTTACAGAGAGAAGCGCAATAAATGAAACGTCTTTAGGATGTTATTATTTTTAAATATTTGATAAGTATATTAAATACCATCATTAAATATTCGGCTGCAAATAACCACTTCGGAGTGGAAACCCGACGGAGCATCCTTGTATTGAGTGGCCAGCCACCTCGACAACAGCAGTTCCTGTCCCCGTATCCTTACCACTGAAAGTGGGTCGATCGAGGCAAGGGATACGGGAAGTGTTTAGGAATTAATCACAACGATGCTGTCGGTTCCGTCAACATGAGCTGAAACCAGTCTCTCTCAGCTGACTGTTAGGAGCTTCATTGGTGAACCCGAGACCAACTTACGGAAAATGATAATTTATAAGATACATAATGTGATTTGGTATGCGGCGAGCCTCTGTCTTTTGTTATCGTCAGTACCTAGCTGTGAAAACGACCACCCCTAAAGCCCCGTTATAACAACGCGTATTGCACTGTATTGTTCCTGGATATTTTTTTGTTTTCGCAATATTCTCGAAATCCCGTTAGAGCACGCTTCCGTGCTGTACTGCAAGAGGTCCCCGCTATAGCGCGAGCACGGCAAGATCGTTCATCTGACAGTCCCTTCACAGCTTCAGTGAGGGATCTCGAGAATTGTGCGCGTTCTGTCACCAGTCTCGACTCACATCGTGCTGCAGTTGCACGTGCAGGTCGCGAGACGTCAAATCAAAGCCGTAAACTAGAGCACATATTTGACATTTTTTTCCTTGTGGCATTTTCGCGGGAAAGAAAACTGCTAGAGATGTTGACCTCAACTAACCACTGCTCTTCCATCCAGCTGGATCCCGCCCCCGTAAAGATGAATGCAAATATTGAATAAATTATCAAATGACTCTGCCAACGCATGTGAACGATAACCTACACTCGAACAATGACAACCGATCTCAAAACCAAACAGGACAACTGTGTTCCTCTCCAAAACATCGGACGTGTCTAATGCCAATCGTAGAACAGGGAGGGGCCGAGGTTGATAGAACAGCTGGCGCAAGGCTAAAAGATTAGAAGGTTGTGCTACGGTTGAATAGCCGCAAATTCATGCCCACTACGAGGAGAAGGAGGCCAAATTTGTAGTGGGATTTTGGGTGCGGATTTCCCCGATGGTTGAATGTCTATGGCGCCTTCCTCATTCCTAGGCGGGAGTCTACCCGTGGCAGTGATCGTGCTGGTAGCCGTCGTCAGAGGTAGGTCGTGGATTTTTTCCTAACATCAGCTTCACCCATGACCTCAATTGCAAAAACAACATGGCCGTGTATTTGTAGCTAACTTGGCCCATTCACCGTCGTCCCCGACAGCCCAGTCATCATCTCTTGTGTTTCATGTTTCCTCATATCCTGTTATAACCATATCACTATCTGGAGCGTTCACTTGCACGCGCGGTATCTCAGTTTAACAATGCTGGGGGAAGATGGTGCTAACTCGCTCCCAGCCGTGCTACTCGCTCGCTGTTCGTTCTGTCCACGCCCGGGGTTACTGACCAACAATCGGGAGGATATACGACCCATATACCACCCCATCCCGTCCAATATCAATTATATGTACCATCTAAATACGCGGCGGAGATCTCCCTGCTCTATTACAACACGGCATGTTACTGTCAGATTCGTTTGTTTTGGGTTTTTTTTCGAGGTTGTTTGACGTGGTGAATCTGACAAGGTCACGGGCTAACTGAATGGTAACGTTGGCCAGTCGGGTCAGGCAAGTTGGTGGTAAGCTGGGCAGCGATCTAGGGTGCAGTCACTAACAAATGCCTTATCAACAACCCAAACCCCAGCGTTGAATTCACCGAATAACAACATAACCCAGCCAAAATGGATTTCTTTCCTTCCCCAGCTTTGACAGGCCATAGGGCACGAATTGATTAAAAAATAGGTCTGTGTATAACCTGTCTTACAGTGGCGGGGAAGGGGAGCCCACGGTGCCTGGCGTGGTGGACCTTTGTGGTGGGGAGTTGTGTGGCTACCATCAAACAAATATATGTCAGAGAGGGAATAGAAGAGAGTTTCGCTGTTGACCTGATTCTGTGGAGGCGTGCGTGATATTGTTGTTATCACCCCTCCACTACTGGATGCTGATAATGGCCTTTTGTGGTGATGTTATCAGCATTATCTTGCTTTCTGTCATTATGTAATCGTTACACATTGATTGGGTGATAATTACCAGTGTTCACCAGTGTGGAGCAGTAATGTAAACATTGCATTTAAACTGCCTGAAGCTGGTATTGACATTGTATCACATAGTTGCACTCAGTGTCAACATTGTTTACAATTGCATCCATTACAATGGCTTCATTCATATGCAGTGTTGTGTAATGTGTAACAGAGTAAGCACTAGTAACCCATTGACACATGTGATAATGGTGTTTAAAGTGTGTACAACATGGGATACGAGATATATACACCAGGAAACAGAACTGTTGTGCTTATCAATGAAACCAGGAAATACACCTCTTTGTGTACAATCTGCCCTGTAGGTTGAGCGTTTCATGAATGAAATCAGTACTAGGATTTATCTCAGATTCTAAACTAACTGCTTTTAGCTGGTAAATTGAAAAAAATTCCCTGTTTTCTTAGAAATGGGGTGTTTTAATAGTCATTATTTTTTATTATAAATTCTCAGGTATTCTAACATTGTATTTAGAGCAAACTGAAACTTAGCATTATATCCTCTTTTATAATCTGGTGCTTTTAATATTAAACCTTAACAGGGTCATAAATTTATTTATACCCATGTCAACATGAATTGGGAAGTTTTTGTCACAATATTGTATTTCTGACTGGTATTTGCTGCAGATTTATTGTGAGTGTAAGCCTCTGTTCAAGTGGTAACAGTTGCACTAGTAGACAAGTCATGTTTCTTTCTTTGGTTTTGAACTATTTTCTTTTCTTTTTTTCTGAATTATTCGTTCTGTTGTGAAGTATGTTGTGTTTTTGTAAAGGAAATTAATAATTGTTGACAGAATTGCGGACTATTTGTTGAAATGAAAGACAGTGTGTAGCCATATCCAAACTAAGTGTTCATTAACATGAAAATATTTGCATACTATGCTAATCAACTTTTGCTGAGGATGATCAGCAGTGTTATTCTCATTTCCTGATAATTAAAAAGCCCTCCACATTAAATTGAACAATCTTTCACACAAATTTATTTGTTATTGAGATGGATGTAAATAGTAAACAATTTTGCTGAAATATCAAAAATCAGACTTGATCGTTCTTATATTATCTTCTGAAACAGTTTCCACCTTCAGCACCTCTGCCCCAACCACCACCACCACCACCACCACCACCACATCATTTACCCCTTGTTCTGTACTGTCGTTATAACATCTAGGGGTGGTGGGGTATCCTAGTGGTTAAAGCGTTGGCTTGTCATGCCAAAGACTGGGGTTTGATTCCATAAACAATCGTGAAGCCCATTTCTGGTGTCCCCTGACGTGATATTGCTGGAATATTGCTAAAAGCGGCATAAAACCATACTCACTCACTCACTCATTATAACATCTGGTGATGTTACTTTAAACATCTGGTGCCCAGTACTTCTACAGTAAAAAATATTTTTTAAATTTAAGTGTTTTAAATTTTTCATGAAAACAGGAACTTAGAAAAAAATTTAAGTTTGGATAATATCACGATATGTATCCCAGTTTGACTGCCAGAGGCTCTTAGTGTGGAATGCTAGTAAGATCATTGGTAAAAGTTGAAGAGAAAGAAGATGGTATCAAATTGTCATGTCAAATATCTGGATGTCATGATAAGAAATATGCATGTATGAAATTGAAATGGCAAGTCTCTAGATGTCATGAAATGTATTATGAAACTTGAAAGATGCATATACCAAATTGTCATGTCAAATATCTGGATGTCATGATAAGAAATATGCATGTATGAAATTGAAATGGCAAGTCTCTAGATGTCATGAAATGTATTATGAAACTTGAAAGATGCATATACCAAATTGTCATGTCAAATATCTGGATGTCATGATAAGAAATATGCATGTACCAAATTGTAGGGCTGGAACAATACGTATCATGATACATACACCTTGAAAGAATGGCACAGTATTAATGATTTAAAATGATTTATTTAAATGTATTTGTGTATATCAATAACACTATTGTAATAAACAAGCAATAATCTCTATCATACTTGCGTATTTTTTTCTAAAAATAAGTACTTTGACATGTTTAAGATAAAACTGTTTTGAAAAAAGGTTGTGTATCGTTTTGTATCGATACACCAGTCGACGATACGATAGCTGTATTAAACTTAAATGTATCACGATATATCGATGCATTGGTGAATCGTCCCATCCCAACCAAATTGTCATGTCAAATATCTGCATGTCATGAAAAGAAATATGCGTGTACCAAATTGTCATGCCAAATATCTGGAAGGACCTGGTTCGGTTCCACGCAAGGATACAACATGTAGCCCTTGACTTGTCATGCCAATTCTAGCCTTATGGGAAAGAGTTGCTCATCACGTCGAAGGACCTGGTTCCGTTACACACAAGGGTACCGTGTGTGTAGCCCAATCGTGCTGTCTCACACCATGGTATTTCGGGTACATTGCTAAAATGACGTAAGACCCAACTTACTGTCATTCACTCATTATTCAAGGAATATCAATCCCTGATATTGGTAGAAAAATAGGAAGTAACTGTGTTTACAGTAATGAGACTAATTGTTTCCAAAGGTTCCTGAAAAATTATAAATTTTGAAGTAGAATTTCATTTTTACTTCCTTCGTGTTTCTATCCACTGCACTAGTGTGTGAAATAGCCATTGGACGCTAGTCAGTGGCTGTAAATATCTAGTTGGGCTAGCCTGACTGATTTTTTATGGGGTCATTTTGTAAATATATCACTCTCTCCGACTTGTTATGCTAGATACACTTTTAAATCATGCAAGTAGAAATGTTCATCATATTAGCAACTTAATGATAAACACCCTTTTATGCTGACAATATCTTATTCTCATCTATTTTTGTAATCTTTTGCTCAGTGTCTACATTCAAATATTGGGCTAGTGAATTACATTGTAAGTAACTTTCGGGAATAGCTAGCTCGACTGGCTAGTAAAATTTGGAAACAGTTTTGCTCACTGATGCACTGATTCAATAGAATGAAAGTCATCATACATGTATCTTTTATTGTTTGTTTGATAAGTGCTCCACTAAGCAATATTCTAGCTATATGACGATGACAGTGATCTGTAAGTAGTCCTGTCAAAATGATCACTGGATTGTCTGGTCCAGACACAATTATTTACAGACCCGCTGCCATATAGCTGGAATATTGCTGAGTGCGGTGTAAAACTAAACTCACTCATGTCAAGACTAGACAATCCAGTGACTGACTTAATGAGCATGGATCTACAGAATCTGGAGACATGTTAACCATGCCCCCCCGATCTCGCTAGACGCTCTAATGACAAGCATGGGTTGCTGAAGTCCTATTCTCACCCAAATCTTCGAGTGTTTCTGGGTTTTACTTGACACTATCATTTTTGTCAAAATTCGCATAAATGTAAAGAATTTAAAAAAATATACATCATCCTGGGGAGTGGATGCCTCTTGATGGGACATATACTAAACATATAGGCCCTGTCTATATAGGCCTGATCTTACCATGGAGGCGTTATGACACTAATTGTCATTATATCACTGTACCTAATATGTACTGTAACCATGGAAATAAAATAGTTAATTTTTTAAAAACGAAGAGCTAATTTTATCTTGTACACCATTAAAACAAATTTTGTCAAGATTATTCATTAAGTTGAAGAGGGTGACATTTGGTGAAAGATTTAAAAGCAGTTTTTTTGTTTGTCTGTCCGGTATGTGAGGCGGTGGGGTAGTCTGATGATAGTTTAAGTATTTGCTCACCACAGGGGCGGTGGGGTAGCCTAGTGGTTAAAACGTTGGCTCGTCACGCCGAAAACCCGGGTTCGAATCCCCACATGGGTACAATGTGTGAAGCCCATTTCTGGTGTCCCCTGCCGTGATGTTGCTGGAATATTGCTAAAAGCGGCGTAAAACCAAACTGTCAGTCAGTCGATTCACCACATGGATACAATGTGTAAAGCCCATTTCTGGTGTCCCCGCCATGATATTGCTGGATTATTGCTGAATGTGACTTAAAACCCAACTCACTCACTCACTCTGTCCAGTATGTAGACCCAAATCTGGGGCAAATGTCTGTATGGCTGTAAAGGTTCACAAAGTGGAATAAAAGTAATAAAAACCTTCCACAGTCATAACATAGTTGCAACTAGTGCAATGGCCTGGCAGGGGCCACTGAGCATTATATAAAGAGGGGTGATATTACAATTTATACAATGCATTGAATATGGCCTTGATAGAGCTCTGAATTTTATAACATTTTTTATATTGAATACAATTGTGTTTCTTTTCTCAAGTTCCCTGCCACTGACACTTGCTGGTCGATACTAATGTGTCCTTCATACTACGGACAAAATATAGTCCAGGGTTATGTTGTGGCAAGACTGCCCCAAAAGAATACAGCTTATCTTATAATCTCAGAAATAAAACTGTTCAGCTTAGATATAAATATTCATAGAATGTAGACTGTTTGAATCTGTAGTTTTACAGGGCTCTAATGATGACATTTATTTCCCCTTTGAGGCAATGAATGGAACTCCTGATAGCATGCAGCATTCTGTTTCGTTTCGTTCAAAGGTCATTGTCCACTGTGCCTCAAGGGGCGGCGGGCTAGCCTAGTGGTTAAAGCGTTCGCTCATCACTCTGGAGACCCGGGTTCGATTCCCCACATGGGTGCAATATGTGAGTCCCATGTCGTATCCCCCACTGGGATATTGCTGGAATATTGCTGCAAGCGCCTTCTACCATACTCACTCACTACTGTCACAGATTGTATTGTCCCTAGATGTTATAATGACAGTACAGAGCAAGGGGTGATGAGGTGGTGGTTGGGGCAGAGTTGCTGAAGGAAATTGGAAATTGTTTTAGAAGATAATATAAGAACAGTCAAGTATAATTTGAAAATGAATATTCCAGCACAATTGTTTACTATTTACATCCATCTCAATAACAAATAAATTTGTGTGAACGATTGTTCACTTTAATGCGAAGGTCTTTTCAATTATCAGAAAATGAGAATAACACTGCTGATCATCCTCGGCAAATGTTTTCCTGCGCCCTATATGCATAAAAATTGACAATGGACGCAACAAAATATATTAGAGCGTCCACAGGGACTCAGAAACAGTGTAAATACTTTTTGTAAAAATTCCAATCAAGTGACAATATGTTATCACTGAGTTTGCTACTAGCAGGGATATTGTATTATTTGCAACAATGTGATTATCATGATACACAATACAATAACAGTATATATAATAATATTTAAGTCTGGGACCCCCATTTTGTTGTCAAGGACCCCTGAGTATGAGTCCCAGGGACCTTCAAATACAGGACTCCATGTAAATCCCTGTATTCATGAGGGGAATTGAACCCGGATGTTCGGAATGATGAGCGAAAGCTTTAACCACTAGGCTACCCAACCTGGCACTCCTTTCACGAAGCAACCTTTACTAAGGTTAACCTTAACTCCCATTCTTTAACATCGCACTAAGGTTACCGTAGTGACTTACGATCACCTTAGTGACCTACGATCACCTTAGTGCTTTGTGAAAGGAGGCCCTGGACAATAAGTGCTTAAAGCAATGATTGGCAGGCTATGGTCAGTGGTGTAACCCTTAGGGATGTCACGATACATAAGTTTCATGAATCGATACGTATCATGACACCCATGTCACGATTCGATATGCATCACGATACCTGTATTCGATATGCATCACGATACCTGTATTCGATATGCATCACGATACCTGTATTCGATATGCATCACGATACCTGTATTCGATATGCATCACGATACCTGTATTCGATATGCATCACGATACCTGTATTCGATATGCATCACGATACCTGTATTCTCAGCATTATTGTGTAAATTTAGTTACACCTTGAACATTATTATTTCATATTTTATAATTGTCCATGAAAAGATCAACATTTTATATTCTCAGATATTAAAAAGTTCTATTTTCCCATTTTGTGCATGAAAAATAGTCATTTATAACTCTCATAACATAAACTACATGATACAATTGCAAAATGTAAACAATACATAAACACATTGCAACCGATACTTTCAAAACTAAATATCGATACAGTTTTGAATGTATTGATAATTGTATCGTCTTAGAAAAAGTATCGATGTATTGATGTATCATGGCATCCCTAGTAACCCTCGTAAACTGTGGCATTATGGGTCAGTTGGACAACAGTTCTGACGTCCTGACTTCTCCTTGGAACCACATACAGGTATTAGTGCAGTCACCTTGGACAAACCCATGTTCCCTTCACCAATGATTCAATGAAGAAAATCAGACATGTAGTGTCGCCATGGCTACAGCTGAATTGGTCTTAATGATTCAAACAGTCGTGGATTTTTGCAAAATGGGATTTACTTTTGTTTGAAAGCAACCTGTGGACTTAGTGAAAAAGTGAGGATGCGGACAGAAATAACTTCTTGATTCAAGGTTGCAGTCATTCAAGCTGGAAAATATTTGCATCCATGATTAGTATTTTACTGGCGAGGGTGCAGTATTTTACTGGCGAGGGTGCAGTATTTTGAACCTAGTAAAACCTTGTGTATATCTTATGCATGCAGAGAAGAATTATTTTCATGTACATTTTGGGAATTAACAGCTAGCCTCTATAAAATATGGGGGCGGTGGGGTAGCTTAGTGGTTAAAGCTTTTGTTCGTAATGCCGAGGAGCCAGGTTCGATTCCCCCCATGGGTACAATGTGTAAACCCATTTCTGGTGTCCTCCACTGTGATATTGATAGAACTCTGTTACAAGTGACATGAAATCCATACAAAAACAATGATCACTGTTGACCACAGTGGTTCATAGTCACTGGTAAGGAATGATAACGTATGTTACTGATACACATTGCCCTAGGCTCCTGACAGGGCGAACAGTGTCAGGCCCATGGGTACAACGTGTGAAGCCCATGTCTGGTGTTCCCCACCGTAATGTTGTTGGAATATTGCTAATAGCAGTGTAAAGCAGAACTCACTCTCTTAAAAATGTGGACTTTCTATTTTTCTAATTCCATTAATTACATGATCTTCATATTTCATGTCAAAAATGGATGCAATGAATATTATTATGCATGAGTTTAGATATGAATTATTACTATTCTGTGTCCATTTGTACATTAGAGTAAGTGAGTGAGTTTAATTTAGCTTTACACCGCTTTTAGCATTATTCCAGCAATATCACAGCAATGGACTTCACACAGGGTACTCGTGTGAGAAATCGAACCCAGGCCTTCGGGTAGACGAGTGAACGCTTTAACCGCTACGTTATCCCGCCGCCCCTCCTACATCAGAACACATTGACATCATCGTAATCAACCTGTAGCCTTATAAGTTGTTCACTGGTCTCGTGGGGGGACATGAGCTGATGTATCCTCGATGTTTGTTTATGTTCCCTTTGGACTCAGGGGCCATCAACCCATGGTTCTCTAGGGACCAGTGATCAAATGTACCATTGTTATATATGTTTTATTATGCCTGTGTGAGATGTTTGATAACATCCCATGTGATATGTTTGATAATGCCTATGTGATATATTTGAAACATTCCATGTGATGTGTTTGACATGTGCCTGTTTGATATGTTTAATAACATCCCATGTGATATATGTTTGACATGTGCCTGTCTGTGTTGCAGCCAATGGGGAAGACTCTGCAGGGTTTGAGGCAGGAATACGGGTGTACCAAGACGTAGATGTAGTGGTTACACAGAAGAACGGACAGTTGTTACTCAACTGTTCTGCCACAGCCACATCAGACTTTGGCCCTTTCCAATATAAGTGGCTAAAGGATGACAAACTTATAGAATTTCAAGAAGTCAACCCCAAGATAAAACTGCTTTCAAATGGGTCGCTATATTTCAAAAAGTTCAGGAAACGAAAACGGCGGACAGACGAAGGAGATTACACATGTATTGTCAAGAACAGCATTGGTAGTGTTATAGCCAACCACGTACATGTTCAAGTGGCAAGTAAGTACAACTTTGTATTCTTTTTCTTTAATCCTTTTTCATTGACTATCCACCTGTGAAGGTCCGGGTTAGAATATTGATCTTCAGTTACCCATGCTTGTCATAAGAGGTGACAAACAGGATCGGGTGGTTTGGCTCGCTGACTGGGTTGACACATGTCATCGGTTCCCATTTGCGCAGATCAGTGCTCATGCTGTTGATGACTGCATTGTCTGATCCAGACGTGATTATTTACAGACCGCCGCCATATAGCTGGAATGTTGCGGAGTGCGGCGTAAAACTAAACTCACTCACTCACTCATTTGATTGACTATCAGTTGTTTGTCGATTGCAATAGCTATAAGGCAATCTGCTATGTTTTCTAAATTATTTCCTACCGTATCGTGCATATTTTTTATATCCGTACATACACCGATACGGCCCTTATCTGAAGCCCTGCATACTTTCACATAGACTTACGACTGTCATAGCACAAAGATGTTCGAAACTCCCATACATTAACATTCACTTACGACTGTCGTGGCACTAAAATCTTCATAACTCCCATACTTTAACATTGACTTATGACTGTCGTAGCGCTACGATTGCTTTGAGGAACAGGGCCCTGATGGCTACAAACATCTAGTCACAGGAAGATTCAAACGCTGTCAACAATGAATTACGCAATACGATGGAGTGTGTGAAGCGATACTTGCCTGGGGCACATTCCATTTTTCTGATCTCAGTTTATTTCTGACTGCTGGTAATGAAAGCTCACGTGATTTGTAGTCATCTGATCCAAAATAATAATTTATTTCTGGTTTTCTGCGATGGTTCATTTTTATCCCTCCGGCTTGAAATGCTTGTTGAAACTTGCAATGCAGTTTTTTTTCTAGTGTTGAACTGATTTTTATTTTAGAGGGATTAGAAGGTAAAACTCCAAAGTGTGTCATTAGGTTGTGGAGGACAGTGACGAGGTGATATATACTGTATATATCATGTATATATCATGTATATATCATGTATGGGATTCTAGAATCTCAGATCCAGGTTTGAATTGGTCTTCAGTAACCCATGCTTGTCGTAAGGTAAGGGCGACTATCGGGATAGGGTGGTCAGACTTGGTTGACACATGCCATCGTATACTAATTGCGTTGATTGATGCTCATGTTGTTGATCACTAGATTGTCTGGTCCAGGCTTGGTTATTTGCAGACTGCTGCCATATGGCTGGAAAAATGCTAAGTGTGGCGTAAAACTAAACTCACTCACTCACTCATCCTCCCTCAACCCAGCCCTCGTTTAATATTATGTAATAGAAGTCATATGCCCCTACTAAAGGTTCCCTATACTTTAGGCTTTTCTCATGATTGTCGACTGTTAAATGTTTTCCAAAACGTGAGCTATGCATAATTCTGACCAGCCCAACTTTTGTCTCAATTCAAAAAGCACAGCAAAGTGATATTCAGTAACAAACCAAGAGATGTAACCTTATTCTGCACAATATGGAGGTTATGAATTAGTAAAATCCTAAGTAATATGTTATGGTAAAAACCTACTAATTTGTATCATACTAATTGGACTTATTAGTGTGACATTTTGTATGGCATTTTCTTATTTCAATAGTACTTTACAGTGCACAGCCAAGCGTAATGGTCATCATTCCCTGTGGGATATGGTATTTGGGAAAAAACATTTTATGGAGTATTGCTCAAAGTGAACGAACAGATCACAAACTTGTGAAATTTGTGGTAAAATGCACCTGAGTTTCAGGCATGTTTGGTGTATGCTGGGAATGTGATGAGACTATTGTGTGTACTTATGGTGGAAAATATGTAGCAATCAGCTAAATGCAAGATCTAAAGTGTACCCAACAATATACCTGAAAAGAATTTTAATGCCAAACTTGGTTAAAAGTGTATCTAAACCAACAGTAAATTATGACAATCCGGGCTGGAATTGGTCTTCAGTAACCCATGCATGTTGTAAGAGGCGACTAACGGGATCGGGTGGTCAGGCTAGCTGACTTGGTTGACACATGTCATCGTATCCCAATCTCGTAGATAGATGCTCATGATATTGATCACTAGATTGTCAGGTCCAGACCATTTATTTACAGGCCGCCGCCATATAGCTGGAAATTTGCAGAGTCCTGATCACAACTTAAAATAAAGGGACATTTCTACAAGTGTCCATTCATTCGTATTATTATTATCATTTGATAAGCAGATAATTCTGCGCATAAAATTTCACATCACTGGTCGTGTCATATTCCTGTAAACCGGTCAGCTGGTCATTCCTCTGTTCTGACTCATAACAGGTCATGTGACCTGTAGGCTCTGGATGTAACCCACATGGCATTGTGCCAAATCCCTAGTCCCATCAGATGGTCATCTGCCCTCCAGGATATAACTGTGTTATCGTCCAGCAGTACGGATGCGAGGTTATACAGTCAATTTATCCAACATTGTTTATTTCTAGTGGGATCTACCCAACACTAGTGTAGGGTTTAATAGTAATGGCCAGGAAATGTAGGAATATTCTTGTCTTAAACTTAAACAATGTGTTAACTGAGGTAATATTTCTCCAGGGTCCAATAAGATTGTAGGAATGAAACACATTTACACTGGACTTGTTTACTAGAGTGATATCCACTTTTTATAATGGCTTGTTTACTTGAGTGATATCCACTTTGTTAAACTACTTGTATACTTCAGTGATAAGCCCTTTGCTTCAGGACAGTTTTATTTGAGTGATATCGAGTAATACATGACATGTTTACTTAAGTGATATCCTGTTACACAGGACATGTTTAATTGAGTGATATCCAGTTACACAGGACATGTTTGCTTGAGTGATATGCAGTTGTACAGGACGTGTTTACTGAGTGATATCCAGTTGTACAGGACATGTTTACTTGAGTGATATCCAGTTACACAGGACATGTTTACTTGAGTGATATCCAGTTATACAGGACATGTTTGCTTGAGTGATATCCAGTTGTACAGGACCTGTTTACTGAGTGATATCCAGTTGTACAGGACCTGTTTACTTGAGTGATATCCAGTTAAACAGGACATGTTTACTTGAGTGATATCCAGTTATACAGGACATGTTTGCTTGAGTGATATCCAGTTGTACAGGACATGTTTGCTTGAGTGATATTCAGTTTTAAGGACATGTTTACTGAGTGATATCCAGTTATACAGGACATGTTTGCTTGAGTGATATCCAGTTGTACAGGACATGTTTACTGAGTGATATCCAGTTATACATGACATGTTTACTTGAGTGATATCCAGTTATACAGGACAGGTTTACTTGAGTGATCTCCAGTTATACAGGACATGTTTACTGAGTGATATCCAGTTATACAGGACGTGTTTACTTCAGTGATATTCAGTTACACAGGACGTGTTTACTTGAGTGATATCAACTATAACATAGTACCTGATTTCCAGCTGTTGCATTTCTGCATGAATATAAATGTCTGGCCATTTCATTAAATATAACACTTCTGTCATGTTTCACAGTATTTATCATCTGCAGTCGGCGAGTAGCTGCAATCTGTAGTAGATGCTAAGATACATATCAAACACATGCTCATGAATACCTTGGTAATACTCACCGATCATTTTGATCAAGTCCTGAACACAGATACTTGATAAAACGCAGAATGGTAGATTCAGTTATGTTTTCAGCTATTAGTTGTGTGCCAGCCTTGACCTTGTCAGTTACAGTTGTGTTATGATATGACCCAGCAGTTACAGTTTTGATAAAACCCATTAGTTGCAGGTGTGAGATTACAGATGTGTGATAGGACCCTTAATTGCAGGTGTGAGATATGATCCATTAGTTGCAGGTGTGTGATATGAGCCACTAGTTGCAGGTGTGTGATATGACCCATTAGTTGCAGGGGTGAGATATGAGCCGCTAGTTGCAGGTGTGAGATATGACCCACTAGTTGCAGGTGTGAGATATGAGCCACTAGTTGCAGGTGTGAGATATGAGCCACTAGTTGCAGGTGTGAGATATGAGCCACTAGTTGCAGGTGTGTGATATCATCCAGTAGTTGCAGGTGTGTGATATGAGCCACTAGTTGCAGGTGTGTGATATGAGCCACTAGTTGCAGGTGTGAGATTTGAGCCACTAGTTGTAAGTGTGAGATATGAGCCACTAGTTGCAGGTGTGTGATATGACCCACTAGTTGCAGGTGTGTGATATGAGCCACTAGTTGCAGGTGTGAGATATGAGCCACTAGTTGCAGGTGTGAGATATGAGCCACTATTTGCAGATGTGTGATATGAGCCACTAGTTGCAGGTGTGTGATATGAGCCACTAGTTGCAGGTGTGTGATATGACCCATTAGTTGCAGGTGTGTGATATGAGCCACTAGTTGCAGGTGTGTGATATGACCCACTAGTTGCAGGTGTGTGATATGACCCATTAGTTGTAGGTGTGTGATATGACCCATCAGTTGCAGGTGTGTGATATGACCCACTAGTTGCAGGTGTGTGATATGACCCATCAGTTGCAGGTGTGTGATATGACCTACTAGTTGCAGGTGTGTGATATGACCCATTAGTTGCAGGTGTGTGGTATGACCCATCAGTTACAGGTGTGTGATATGACCCACTAGTTGCAGGTGTGTGATATGACCCACTAGTTGCAGGTGTGTCATATGACCCATTAGTTGTAGGTGTGTGATATGACCCATCAGTTGCGGGTGTGTGATATGACCCACTAGTTGCAGATGTGTGATATGAGCCACTAGTTGCAGGTGTGTGATATGACCTATTAGTTGTAGGTGTATGATATGACCCATCAGTTGCAGGTATGTGATATGACCCACTAGTTGCAGGTGTGTGATATGACCCACTAGTTGCAGGTGTGTGATATGACCCATTAGTTGCAGGTGTGTGATTTAACACTACAGCTACTGGTGTGTTGTGATGTCACATGTTAAGTGCAGTTGTCTCATGGCACAAATTGCAGGTGTATGATGTAACTCACTAGTTACAG